GACCGCTAATGTTCCCGTGACCACTTTGCGGCTCTCTGACCCGAGAGAGACGGGGGAAACAAACAAGCATGCAAATGGGATTTATCGCGGCCAGAAAAGTTATTGAGCAAATTTTATTTATCGTGCGATTAATTGATTTATTGACTATCGCGACAGGCCTAGATGTGGCCTCAATTTTCTTGAATTCGATTATAAAACGATTTTTTATGAATTTTTTATATGTATTCTGATGCACTTTGTACAGTTCAATTTCCATTATATTGTATTACCTTTTCATGAAAATATCCATTGGAGTGGAAATGCATGAACAACAGGCCATGTGCTTGTGAACATATGTGTTTTCATGCTCCCGTGACTTTATGGAACTGCTTCGAGCGTGTTCGCTGATGCGGAAGTACCGTTTAATAATAAAATAAACTTATGGCACACCTCAGTGAACACATACTACTGTTATATAAGGTCTCTGGACTCAGAGCTGCATTATTGGAGAAGAACTTTACGCAAAAAGCCGCTAGCTTAACTCTTAGCATCAAAGTCCGCCCGCTACTTCCGCCACTTCCGGCCGGCGCCACCGCTGGCCAGGACTTCTGGTGTGAAGACCCCTGCGACTGATAATAAGAGAATGTGCGTCTGGTGTGCGAGGCGTCAGCGTTCCAGCATCGCCGGTGTGAAAGCACCTTTATAGTCACAGTAGAAACTATTCCTGGTTTAGATCCTGTTTTGTTTGTTTTTGAGGCATATTTGACGTCAAGGCAGATTAGTTGTTGTTTTGGCCAGTGGGGGCGGGTCCCGGCTCAATTGTGGCCAAAATGACATGCGCTGACATGCTTGCAAACCCACCCCGGGCCGATGGGGGTGGACCTGGAATAAGAATCAGCCAATGCTAACGTAAAGCATCTTCTCACCTCTCAAACACCTTTACAGGATGGTCCAAAAGTTGTCTCTTGGCCCAAAGCTCTGCTCCACATGTGTGTCAATGCTGAGGGGACTGAATTTTTTTGTACCACTCTAGTTTACTCGCTGTGAATTTTTGAAGTCTCTCGTTTAAATGAATGGAGCTCCCGCCGGCTGACTCATGCGCAGATGCGTTTTTTTTTCACATTTTCCAGCCCCCGCGCCCATTTCGAATCGTCTCCATGAGAGCCTAATTTTGGCCCATTAGTTAGAACGGAAGAGATAGGCGTGACTACGTTCGTTAATATATATAATAGTCTATGGTTTTGGCGCATATTGTGACATGCAAAAACAATGCATAGAGTTTTCAAAAATCTTCACTTTGCCCAAAGTTTTTTATGATGCGTTGTCATGTGCAAATTAAGACAAATATCTTTGGTTTAGCAGATACCCGGCTACGTGTGGATTGTGCTCTTTGCTGCTTTTGGTGTTTCATACAATTGTCACAAACGATGAGGTCAAAAGGGCCTAGTTTCTCTTTGTGTTTACACTCGGCTACTGTGCGTAAACCAGCTTGAGCATGGCTTGCGTTCTTTACACTCAATTGAGAGTTAATGTGTCAAAGTGTAGTAGGATGTCTTTCTTCAATGTGCAGCAGCTTAGTGGGGAACGTGTGTTTGGAAAATACAAGTGGATGTCGTTTTTCCATGGACATTTATGGAGTGAAAGAGCTATAGGAAGCTGGGAGATCTGATTTTTGGCACAAGCCCAAATGTAAAAAACGTATTCAGAAGTCGTTTATTTTGTGCCTATCTGACATAGTTTACACTTGTGTATAAATGTAGATAAGAAAATAAGCTTTAAAAGGACGTACTGCTTGTGGGGTTTGGTGTTCAAAATACATCTGTTATTGCCAGCAGAACATTTTAAAAATCGGGCGGATGGCTGGCTGTTAAGAGGTTAAATGTCCCTAAAAGCTTTAAAAAGGGTTTTTAATTCGACTTGGCCAACCTGGGAATACATTTTATTAGCAACTAGTCAATCTGCTATTTCCATCTGATTTTGGGCTAAAACAATGTCGAGTGCAAGTTTTATCTTAATATCTTACTCTTTCCAATAGTTAAATGTGCAGTGGACAATGAAGGTTTTTATTTGCATCGTAGACAAAGGAAATAATTTAGCGAACCTTCATGCATGATTTGGCAATAACACTGACCTGGCGCTCTCCTCAAACTTCAACAGAACAGTCCGTCTGAACCAGGTCTGAACCAGGTCTGAACCAGGTCTGAACCAGGTCTGAACCAGGTCTGAACCAGGTCTGAACCAGGTCTGAACCAGGTCTGAACCAGGTCTGAACCAGGTCTGAACCAGGTCTGAACCAGGTCTGAACCAGGTCTGAACCAGGTCAACAACCGGACCTCTTTGGACAAACCATAGGACTGAACTGAGGGCTGTGTGATTTTAGAACAAAAATCTATTTCTGACTATTAGTGTGATTGTCAAAAATTCACAGCAAAAATCTAAATAAACGATGTCCCTATCTGATCCCCTCACAATTCTAGAATTATTCATTCATTAATTTTCTGTCCCTTTATCAGTCCATTTCCGGGGGGGTGACAATCAGAGCTGCCACCAAATGCTCCTCTGCAGGTGGTGAGTCCACAGGAAGATGGCTGCTACATCAGTGGTTCTACAGCCTTGGTGTTTCAGCGGGAGCTTCAGGCAATGTGGGGTTAAGTGTCTTGCCGAAGGACACGACAGCAGACATAAGTGGGAGCAACTGGAGTAGGTCTCGAGGTGGATTCCAAGCCACAACCTCCAGGCCCAAAGGCCAATGCTCTACCAACTGAGCCACCGTCGCCCCTATTATAGAATTACAAACTTTTATTGCAAGACGAGGGAAAAGATTTTATACCAATTTCAATATCACAGTGAACATCTCTACTGATAAACTCTGTAACAGAACAACATTATAGAACTGTGGTACAGGAAAGCTGATATTTGATATTTTATTTAGCTGAATAATGAATATGAAGGCACTATGTCTATAAACCCAAAATGGTAAATATGACACAAATGGTAACAGAGCCAGAGGAATTTACTTTGTGAGACATTAGAAGCCAGAGTGTTTGTGACTATGTTTTGGTATTTGTGTCTTATTGTGAATCACTATGTTGGGATGGGCTTTATGGCCTAAAATTCATATTGTGGTATAATTTTTGACAGGCGGTAAACGGTATATATTACGGTATAATTTGGTGTGTGAATTTCAATATAGGTCTATAGTGTGTGACCTAGAGAGGGCGCCATAAAACCTTCCTTTTGTAAGTTCCATTATTGCAATAAACAACTGTAATAATTTATCCCGCTATCGTACATTCATACAAACATACAAGGTCAAGTCTTGTTGAACACATTTGTTTATTAGTTAAACAAGTATAGGACAGTGACTCTAATCAAGAATGAAACTGTATGTGTTTGCCTCATTTCCGTGTGCCTTTGAATGCATCTGGGCGCTAGCTGCACGGCTACAAAAAGTATTTTTTTCTCTGAGCTTTTTTTCTGCCATTTCTTTTCTCGTAATAAACCTTGATACATATGAGCACAAATCAATAATATAATCTGTATATAACACAAACTGTTTACATGTTTGTTTACACTTTTTGACATGCGCAAACTGAACTTCTGGATGAATCTGGTTTCCAGGACAAAGCCAGCAGCCGCACTCCTTGTGGTAGTTGCCGGTCCCAGCAGGCCAAGCGTGTTGCAATTTGATGACATAATGAACTATCGCAATATGCCGGTATAACAAAAATCTCTCTTTGGCCAACTTTTTTTTAGCATACCGCTTATACTGTTTATATCGCCCAGCCCTAAACTATCGTGGGGTATTTCTCCTGAATCCGACCATAACCACACAGTACCAGTTTTGTGGTAGTCTCTTTCGCTTTCTCTGGTTTCTCTCTTTCTCTGTCTCTGGTTTCTGTCTGTCTTTGGTCTCTCCTCTGGTGATGTGATATAATTGAACGTGCACATTTAGCATCCATTTTCTTCCACTTTATCCATTTCCTGGTTTTGAAGGCAGCAGCAGTCTTCCCTCAGCCCAGAAAATTCATGAGGTGTTCCTAGGCAGAGAGTGGTAGTCCCTCCAGTGCTTCCTGTGTTATTAACTTTATACATTTTGTTGTCAAACACAAGCCACAATTGGAAACAGACTATTGAAGAATCAGGGAAATCATTGTTAATCAATAAACTCGATAATCTTTAGTTTTAGCCTCCTGTCCTTGCAGAACTTACTCTCTCTACGAATGTCAGAAAAACCCTCTTAATTCTCATCTCCCCCTCATCTCGTCTTTTCATGACGTATTTGCTGTCGGCCACCTCACTGAAGGCCTTTGAGCACAAGGTTGGATGAACCCATAAGAACTTGTGTGAAACAGAGAAAAGATGTGGTTTCTGAGACTGAGGCGAGAGTGAGAGACTGAGGCGAGGTGAGAACAGCTTTTATAAACATGCACACGCACGCACGCACAGGCACACACAGGCAGACCGTTAGAGTTTAGAAAGTTCTCACAAAACAAAGTGTTCGCAAGTGTAAAATTGCAAGGACTCTTTTAATTACTTGAGGTTTACCACAGAAAAATGTGGTAATTACGCAGTACTAGCTTGCAATCTCACCTCCAGGCCTTTTTGTGTGAAGTTATGCATGTTCTTCCCATGTCTGTGTAGGTTTGCTCCTGGTGCTCCGGTTTCCTAGCCTGGTTTTACCATACCCTCGTACTTGTTTCGTACATCCCGGGAAAAAAAGATTTGACCGGAGTTTACGGATGGCAAAGGCCAGGCTACCGGTTTCCCTTACCACCAAAAACATGTACATTAGACCTGGCATGCGCTTCCTGTTGGTGAGCCTGCTCCAATCTCTGTGTGGAGATAGAGACAAATGCCCTCATCAGTTGTAAAGTGCTTTGTGACTCTGATCTTATTTATCTCTTTCAAAGTCTGCTTACTTACAATGTCTCTAGTGCAATTAGTATCTGTATCGGCTTCATCTCTGTGGACCCTTATCGTATGGTCCGTGTTGATCCTATGAATGCTCGTGTCCTCAGGCTGTACGCTGCTACGACTCTCTCATCCTGAAAGCAGAGGGGAAAGTGGAGCCGGAGCTGTTCTGTCAACTGGGACACTTCAACCTTCTCCTGGAAGACTATCCAAAAGGTAACACTAACTCAAGACTCTTTCACATTGTAGTGGAGGGCAGCTGGTGCCCTGGTAACTATGGTAACTGTCAATCCATCCATCCCTTTTCTTCCGCTTGATTCCTTTCTGGGTGGGGGGGTGGCAGTCAGAGCTGCACCCAGTACACAGGAGCCTTGATCTTTCAGCAGGGGCTTCAGGCAATGTGGGGTTAAGTGTCTTGCCCAAGGACACAGCAACAGCAGACATCAGTGGGAGTCATGAATTAGGGCTAAGCCCCGGTGATCCAAGATGGCGTCGTGTATTCAAATGAATGGCTCAGTAGCGCAAGGGACTTCACGGGGACCGAAATATTAGCGGAACCTATGTTTGGGCATCGTCTGGTTCTCCCGGTTCTGCATAGTTGACAAGCTCCCATGATGAGTTCGCTGCGCTTCACACAAGGGTTTGGGTCTGCTTCATAGCGGATGAATTTCAGAAGGCGGGGCCTTGTAAAAAAATCCTTGTATGTAATTGGAAAAAAACCACTTGTCTGTTATCTTAAGATAAGTATTCCTTTATTCGTCCCACAGTGGGGAAATTTCAATGTTGCATCGCACATATAGAACAGTATTAAGAGCATACAGGGATCACACACAATATATAGGCCTGTCACGATAACAAATTTTGCTGGACGATTAATTGTCTCAGAAATTATTGCGATAAGCGATTATATTGTCGTTCTGAGATCATCGATTACAATGATAATGCAGGTACACCTTTTCAAAGAGAAATAAACTTTTATTTTTAACGAATATTTAACGGTAGAACACAATAAACTGATTGTGTTGTAGATGCATATGTAAGTTTGTTGTGTTGCCGCTTATAACTGCAACTGTTTTCCAACAAATGCGACACACCGACTCGCACATGTTCAGTGGTTCACCACGGGCATTCGGTTTAAATCCGAAATGCTCCCACACTGCAGCTGTCGCGTTTGGCTTGGAAACCAATTCCATCGTTTTGTCCCGCACTCGCAACTAGCTTTCTCTCTGCGTAGTGCCTACCGGTAAACTTCTCTCGCGGCTCCTCAGCTGCACTCTGTGGGCTACGCCAGTAGTCCCACCTCCCCACACACCAGGCGAATGACAAGTGACTGACATGTGGGTTCACCAATGGGGCGTACAGAAGTCCTGCTGCGGTAGCGCCCACCGGAAGTAGCGGGGCGGGCTTTGATGCTAACAGCTAAGCTAGCGGGTTTTTTGTGTAAAGTTCTACTCCAAGAATGCAAGTCTGCAGCATCTCTGTGTTCAGAGACCTTCTAGAGACTTTATATAACAGCAGTATGTGTTCACGGAGGTGCGCCATAAGTTTATTTTATTGGTACGGTACGGTACTTCTGCATCGGCGAACACGCTAACGCTAGCTGCGCTAGTATAGTCACTAATCAAGCCTGAATGAGAACTCAGCTGCCGGCATATGTTCACAACTACTGTGTCCCCCATTGTCAATCCTGGTTAAGTCCTGGTTTAGGTCCTGTTTTGGCTGTATTTTGTATTTTTGAGTAATTTCCGTCTGCTTGCTAGACCGCTAATGTTCCCGTGACCACTTTGCGGCTCTCTGACCCGAGAGAGAGGGGGAGAGAGAGACGGGGAAAACAAATGAGCATGCAAATGGGATTTATCGCGGCCAGAAAAGTTATTGAGCAAATTTTATTTATCGTGCGATTAATTGATTTATTGACTATCGCGACAGGCCTAACAATATATACTTGAATGTGTTCCTTCAACCACTCACATCGAAGCACACAATTCAGCACACTGCGTTGCAGGGTTGCCAAATGCCAGCAAGATATTCCAGCCCAAAAACCGCGAGAATGCCCCCCAAAACACACCCAGAATGATTTCTTGGCTAAAAACGTAATGTAATGTAAACACAATCATGATTCTGTTTTTGTCTTTCTGTCTATTTATTACCTACAAGTTGCTTGAAACAAAAGAATGCGGGAAACCACCCAACCCTGCTGCGTAGTGTTGTGATGAGCACTTAAACCAGTATTAAACCAAACTTTCCACAAACATTTGACTCTTAAAACACACGTATAACCATCAACATCTCGCCTAAAATTGCATTAAAAGTGACATCCGTGTCTTAATTTGTTCGTATTTGAACTTACTAACTTACGTGAAAGTACGTAACCACGGCGATCCTGATTGGCCGATTATTTTTTGACCTCCTGAAGGATTTTTCTTTTTTTTTTCCAAGATCTATTTTTTTTTTTATTTCAACTTAAAACCATACATGAAAGGACAGGACAACAGAAATCAACAAGGCACAAAAAACAAAACAAAAACAAATACACCTTCAAACAAACAAAACACACACACTCACACTCACACTCACACTCTTTGGAATGTAAATGTTCCTCAGTATCCTTCCTCCTGAAGGATTTTGCAATACACTCGATCCCAGACCCTTGTGTTCAGTGAAACGCCTTTGGTGGAGCATGGCGGAACTACAAGGGTCTGGAGAGTCGAGCTACTTTTTTCTGGGTAGCCCACGTGAATTTAGTCTGCAGTAGTGTTTCCCCTGGGCCCATTGGTGGGACAGTTATAAGTGAGTGATACCCAATCCAGATATTATGGATCCGTGGTCAGCGCATATCAACTATAGTGTCAGTCTCTGTTTTCTCGCTCTCTGGTTTCTCTCTCTCTCTCTGGTGTGTTGCTCTTTGGTGTGTGTCTGTCTCTGGTTTCCCTCTCTAGTCCGGCGACCACTATAAACAGGGTTTGATTTTACCTTTCTGTGTGGAGTTTGCATGTTCTCCACGTGTCTGTGTAGGTTTCCTCAGTATGCTCCGGTTTCCTCGACCACTAAAAACATTTCCAGTATAATAGTTCAGGGTGAGTGTGGTTTCACTCTGCAGAGGTGTGTTCATTAACAACCCTTTCCCGACCAAATAAACAATGAATTATGATAAATACAAAGTGAAAACTAGGATTATAGGTGCATAAAGTGGAAAACTTAGACTTTTTATTTTTATAAAATGTATGTACGGGTGTTGATTTTTAGAATGCCTAAAAAGGAACGAATGAATTGTGTTAGCAGTAGTCATTAGCAGCCTTTTTAGTCAGAACTGTCATCTTAGGCGTGCTACTGTTGATCCCAGAGTTACTCCCCTGTCATTGCTACAACAGCCACTTAATCCTCCTCATTTTTGAAAAATAAAAATAAAATGGTCTCATTTGCCCATTCTAGCTAATGGGACAAATTTATCATCTTGCCATGTATACAGGCATGCTTGATAAGTGGTAACATTTGGTTGCATATGTTTTATGGAAAGCCTGTAACCTTGGTATTAGGAAATAAAATACATTCTGAAAATAGAGGAATAAATTCAGTTTGTAAAAAAATTATGGTCATCAAAAATTATAAAAAGAAATATATTGATATCAGAAAATATTGGTCATTGGCCAATTAATATTGGATATCAAAATCGGCCAAAATGTTCATATCGGTGCATCCCTAAACATAAGTAAAAGTGTTTGTTTGTATTTTGCAGCATTATCGGCATACCAGAGGTACTACAGTTTACAGACAGACTACTGGAAGGTAAGTGACACGCGCACGCACGCACACCGCAAAGTTGGTTTGTGAGCTTCCAGTATGAGTCATTTCAATTTTTACGTGGTTAAAATGCTGCTACTACAATAATATACACATACATGCACTCACACACACACACATTATACAGTTTGATTTCTGTGGTTTAAATGCTGCTACAATAACGTAATGGTTCTCTACAGAATGCTGCCTTTCTGTACGGCCTGGGAATGGTCTACTTCCACTTTAATGCCTTTCAGTGGTGAGTTAATTTCTTTTATATATATTTGGGGGATTATCTGTGTATTCAGACAGCTGTAGAAATAAACTAATTACATTAAAATGGCTTGGTTAGATGCCTCGGTTCAGCCTGTGCTGTGTGTGTTTATGTAGCAATAATCTATGAGACAAGAGCATTTATAACAGGGGTGTCCAAACTTAATAGTAAGAATGCCATTACTTCACCAAACCAGGGACCAACAACCCATATTTTAAAACTGTGTTACCTGGATTTTGGCTGTTCTGACGTTTTAAAATACCGTATTATGATAGTGCAATGATATTAACAGTATTTTGAAACAGATTATATGAAGGAAGGCATCAGCTGAAGGTTCAGTATGCCTACATTATATTCCTACTATCCTGAATGTGCCCTGCAACACTGGAATTTCCCCACTGTGGGACAAATAAAAGGTACTCTTCTTGTATATTGACTGAGCTAGTGTAAAGCACAGTTCATACTCAAAGGGAACTCAAAGAGGGTTAACAAAAACTACCCAGAGCTTTAGAGGTAGGATGAGAACGGGACATGTTGGAGTAGGGCTGGCGATACAAACGGTATAAGCGGTATGCGATACAAATTTGAGATTTGTATCTCTTGTATTTGTATTTCTTGTTATACCAGCATATTGCGATAGGTCCGGCGCCGATTGGCTAAAGCTAGCGCAGGCTGTGACGCCGGGAGAAAGCACCACAACAACCGGCTTTAGCCTAGCCTAGCAGCATTAGCCCAGATCACATCCATGGGCTTTATGTTGACAAGCGTCAGCGTGGCCTGCAGCGTGGCAGAAGTTTGAGAAAGTTAGCGTCAGATTCAGACTTCTGCGGTCAATAGCTACGAAATCTACATTGTTAAACAAAAATAATTGTGCCAAAATGATCACATTTACATCAATTGTTCAAATCTGCAGAGAAATCCATTGCTGCATGCGCCGAGAAAAGCGCTTGGGGACAGTCAATAAATGTCAAGACCAGCTTTGTAAACGAACAATAGCTTTTACTGAAGTCTCTTTTTTTATATTTTTTATTACTAATAAGCATGCATTAAGTCCTTAACCAGCCAACGTTCTAAAAACTTTTAGGACTAAAAAGTGCTCAACCGGATCCACCCAAATGGTGTCCCTTATTTTTCTGTTCTCAAGTTGGCAACCCTACTCACTAACCAAAGGGTCTTCAGTTCAATCTGCATTTCAAAAGCATGGTGTCTTTTTAATATGGAATAATATGCTGAAAATGTATTAAATACTGGATGAAATATTGGTGATTATGTTTGGAGACTGGACACACCTGATTTTCAAAAAAAAAAAAAATTAATATGTTGGATTCTAATATATAAATAAGTAACAATCTTGACTATTTTATGCAAGAACCTGCAAGACCTATTGAAATTCATACACCAAATTATACCGCAATATATCCCTTCTACCTCGTGTTGCAACAAAATTCAGTAGTAGAAGTTTGGAGATGAATCCGCTCCAGAATAACTGCCATCGCACTGTTTCTCTCCAAACTAGGGTCAGCAGCCAACTTTCCACATGACTCTTTTTGTTCTTCAATACAGTGCCTTGCGAAAGTATTCGGTCCCCTTGAACCTTTCAACATTTCGCCACATTTCAGGCTTCAAACATAAAGATATAAAAATTACAAATTTTGTCAAGAATCAACAACAAGTGGGACACAATTGTGAAGTGGAACAAAATGTATTGGATAATTTAAACTTTTTTAACAAATAAACTGAAAAATGGGGCGTGCAATATTATTTGGCCCCCTTGCGCTAATACTTTGTAGCGCCACCTTTTGCTGTAATTACAGCTGCAAGTCGCTTGGGGTATGTATCAGTTTTGCACATCGAGATACTGGAATTCTTGCCCATTCTTCCTTGCAAAACAGCTCGAGCTCAGTGAGGTTTGATGGCGAGCGTTTGTGAACAGCAGTCTTCAGCTCTTTCCACAGATTCTCGATTGGATTCAGGTCTGGACTTTGACTTGGCCATTCTAACACCTGGATACGTCTATTTGTGAACCATTCCATTGTAGATTTGGCTTTATGTTTTGGATCATTGTCCTGTTGGAAGATAAATCTCCGTCCCAGTCTCAGGTCTTTTGCAGACTCCAACAGGTTTTCTTCCAGAATGGTCCTGTATTTGGCTCCATCCATCTTCCCATCAATTTTAGCCTCTTCCCTGTCCCTGCTGAAGAAAAGCAGAACCAAACCATGATGCTGCCACCACCATGTTTGACAGTGGGGATGGTGTGTTCAGGGTGATGAGCTGTGTTGCTTTTACGCCAAACGTATCGTTTTGCATTGTGGCCAAAAAGTTTGATTTTGGTTTCATCTGACCAGAGCACCTTCTTCCACATGTTTGGTGTGTCTCCCAGGTGGCTTGTGGCAAACTTTAAACGACTTTTTATGGATAGCTTTGAGAAATGGCTTTCTTCTTGCCACTCTTCCATAAAGGCCAGATTTGTGCAGTGCACGACTGATTGTTGTCCTATGGACAGACTCTCCCACCTCAGCTGTAGTTATTTGCAGTTCATCCAGAGTGATCATGGGCCTCTTGGCTGCATCTCTGATCAGTCTTCTCCTTGTTTGAGATGAAAGTTTGGAGGGACGGCCAGGTCTTGGTAGATTTGCAATGGTCTGATACTCCATTTCAATATAATTGCTTGCACAGTGCTCCTTGTGATGTTTAAAGCTTGGGAAATCTTTTTGTATCCAAATCCGGCTTTAAACTTCTCCACAACAGTATCTCGGACCTGCCTGGTGTGTTCCTTTGTCTTCATGGTTCTCTCTGCGCTTTAAACAGAACCCTGAGACTATCAAAGAGCAGGTGCATTTATACGGAGACTTGATTACACACAGGTGCATTCTATTTATCATCATCAGTCATTTAGGACAACATTCGATCATTCAAAGATCCTCACTGAACTTCTGGAGTGAGTTTGCTGCACTGAAATTAAAGGGGCCGAATAATATTGCACGCCCCACTTTTCAGTTTTTTTATGTGTTAAAAAAGTTTAAATTATCCAATAAATGTCGTTCCACTTCACGATTGTGTCCCATTTGTTGACTCCTGACAAAATTTTTTTTTTATATCTTTATGTTTGAAGCCTGAAATGTGGCGAAATGTTGAAAGGTTCAAGGGGGCCGAATACTTTCGCAAGGCACTGTATATTCTCACAGCAGTCCTTCCTCATTGACAATGAAAGCAAATGTTCCAGTCCATTCTTCCCTGAATTCTCGTTTCTTATCAACTCTTTCTCTTTATAGCTTTGGGATTTGTTAGGATTTAGCAGACAGAGACGGATCGTGGTGTGCCAAACTCTGGAAGTTTATTTAAGTTTCTCTCAAGTTCCACTGGTTTACTCTGTTTCTTTCTCTCAGACAGAATAAAGGCAGTACACAGTTTATATAGTCATTGTCACGTCACACATCGAAAGACATACGTGTCACAAAGAGACAGTCACATCATAGTCATAACATGGAGTCCTTGTATCAATCAATCAATCAATCAAATTTTATTTATAAAGCGCTTTTCATACATAAGATGCAACACAAAGTGCTTTACAGATTGGTTAAAAACAATCCCGCCGACCCAAGACCCCTCCCCCAGACCACCCAACAGACCCCCCCCAAACCACAGACAAACACACACACACGCGCTCATGAACACTCATACACCACACACACACACACACACACACACACACACACACACACACACACACCAGTAAAACAATAAAAACATGATGAGAGACTTGGCAGGGTTCAGATGCAACCAGCTGAAAAAGCGTCATCCAAGGAGCCGTCTGCACCAGGAGCAGAGAGCCGCCCGTAGCCACAGGGGACGACACAGGACCCAGAGGAGACATGAAACCGAGGCCCCAGGCCCCCACCAGGCCCAAGAGTCCGACCCCCGCAGCCACACCGACCACTGCTCCCGGTGCAGAGGGCTCCTCCAGAGGAAACACTGGGTACACTAAAAACAATACAATAAGTAAAACACTAAAATGTGAGACTAAAAGGAACACACAATACATGAATAATAGCAATAGCAATATAATAAATAATAAATAATAAAAGATAAATAGAATGGAATAATAAAAACTAATCAAAAGCTACTCTAAAAAGGTGCGTCTTGAGCCTACTTTTAAAAATATGAACGTTCTCTGCGGCCCTGAGCTCCTCCGGCAGACTGTTCCAGAGACGGGGGCCGTAGTGCTGGAAAGATGCCTCGCCGTGAGTGTGTGTCCTGACTTTGGGGATGGTTAGGAGTCTGCTGCCGGAGGAGCGCAGGGGCCGGGAAGGTTCATAGGATAAAAGCAAATCTGAAAGATAAGAAGGCCCAAGACCATTAAGACATTTAAAAACCATTAAAAGAACCTTAAAATCGATTCTGAAACACACGGGGAGCCAATGCAGCGATTTTAAAACCGGTGTAATGTGGTCCCGCCCCCTGGTCTTAGTCAGGACACGTGCGGCCGAGTTTTGGAGTAATTGAAGACTTGCAATGTTCTTTTTGGGAAGACCAGAGAGCAGGGCATTACAATAGTCAATGCGACTGGTGATAAAAGCATGCATCAGCGTCTCCGTGTTGCCCCGAGAGAGAATGGGGCGGACTCTGGCGATGTTCTTTAGATGATAAAAACCTATTTTTGTGATACTCTTGATGTGAGGAATAAAAGTCAGCTCAGAGTCAAAGATTACGCCCAGATTTTTCACTTGTGATGATGGATTAAAAGAGTGTGATTGGAGTTTTGATAAAAGTTTCTCTCTCTGGGCCTCAGGACCGATGACTAAAACCTCAGTTTTGTCCTGGTTAAGCTGGAGAAAGTTTTCTGCCATCCAGGATTTCAGGTCTAAAATGCAGTTAAAAAGAGCATCCATTGGCCTGGTGTCATCAGGAGACATGGAGATGTACAGCTGAGTATCATCTGCATAACTGTGGAAGTTAATTCCATGTCTCCTGACGACACCGCCAAG